AGAAGATAAAACTTCATACGAATGTTAAAAGGCGGGTTAGATATGTATGCGGCTCGGAATGAAGTGGACCAATAAAAAAAATGCATGCATTGTAAAACTAACAATAAAATTCCAGGGATATTTCAAATGAATTAAACACAAAAACAGATGCATGGTGGTATTAAATATTTAAAACCTGGATTTTAAACACTGGTGACTTGTCCAAGTCCCCTTGGAAGAGAAACGGAATGGGACACTGCCATCTTGTGTGCACTTTTGGGAAGAGCATGCATTGATTTTTTGAAGAGCCTGAATTGACTCTAAAGAAAACACAAAACACAAAATCTTTAATCAAATTAGACTTTATGCAAAATATTCTGGATTGGTTTAAAAAGGATACAAATAGGTTAAATTACCGAATGCACTGAAATGTTTTCAACAATCAATAAGGTTTTAAAGGAAAACAAAACAAAAGATAAATCTAATAACAGAAGAACAAACCAGTCACAATATATCTACAAAAATATCCTTCCGATGAAGCTGACATACATTTCTGGGCATTAATGACCAAATTAAATGTAACTGAAATATTAAACCACGAACATACTTAAAAAAATCTACATGTGAAATAACATTTAATCCTGAAATTGCTTTCATTATTTAGAAAAAGTCTAAAAGAAGATTTATGCATATAGTTTCACTGACTTTGCTAACACTGCATTTACAGCAGTAATTCCTTCTTGAAAATCAAAACCATGCAACACGCACTCAACACACTTCACTAAAAGTGTGATCTACACCATCGATCATTGCTTTTTCTATCACCGGAGTGTCCTTGGTAATGTAAACCTCATTGCTACAAAACAGTAATAGATACTACTGTAGGTAAAACAGTACTAGGTGAGGAGATTAGGGAAATGCATGGAAGGCACAAAGCATGCGGGAAAACCCCACACGGTACGGATAAACTGCAGATTGCTTCTCTATATCGGCCGTTTATTCAGTCGATTCATTTTCTCCAGGAGCCATCGGCAATGCTGATCAATACCTCATGATGTGGTTTATATGGCCCTGTCAGAGACAGAGAGAAACATTGATGTGACACAGGTCAACTTCACTCAACACTCAATGCATTGTATGTATAATGTTCATTAACCCTACGCAAATTGATATTCATATATGCTGACTGTTCCCATGTCGTAGTGGTTAGATCAGCTGGTAGGTACTCTGGCCTGCGGGAAAACCGTTCAAAATGTGCATTTCTTTCTTGTCATGAATAAATATTGATTTGCAGGAAGTACACAATTTCCAAAGGCAATCATATTGCTTGTATCAACACCGTCCGGTGAAAGTGCTGTGGGTAGATTGAGTGTGTGTGTACCAACTTAACCATATTTTGGGGACATATTTGTACCCAAAAGGTAGCAAAACCTGACACAAATCGCCAAAAACCTCCATTTGGGGACGTCCTCATTTGTAAAACCAATAAACAAAGTTTTTTTGAAATTGTAAAAATGCAGAAATATTTCTGTGAGGGGTAGGGTTAGGTTTAGGTTAAATAGTGTATAACTATCTGTATATAAAAACAATAGAAGTCTATGTAATGTTCTCATTTAGATAGCTAAGTAAACGTGTGTGTAAAAATTGCACCAAAATGTTTTTTATGAATGTGTCATTTTATAAAGAGTGGCATGTTATCCACACACCCTTTTGACATAAAAGAAGAGGGGACTATTATTTGTAACCCACAAAATATCAAATATTACTCACAGGTTCACCTGCCATACACCTGGGGCAATACTGTCCTGCCCCACGTCCTGGGGCGGGTAACACCTGCTGACAATCCCAAACACATTAGAGGTTAAAATAAAGATTTGCAAATAGATATGCATCATTAAATGGACATTGTATAATATGATTACTATAAATTGTATTTTTTGCTAAGGATCAGTACTAAACAAAACAATGTTACTTTAAATGTAAAATCAGGGTTTCTGCATTTTTTATGAAGGTAAATTTCAGACTTTTTAAGACATTTTTAAGACCAAGTAAAGACAATTTAAGGCAGGGGTGTCAAACTCAATTCCTGGAGGGCCGGAGCCCTACGGAGTTTAGATTCAACCCTAATTAAACACACCTGATCCAACTAATCAAGTCCTTCAGGCTTATTTGAAAACTGCATGGTATGTGTGTTGGAGCAAAACTCTGCAGGGCTCCGGGCCTCCAGGAATTGAGTTTGACACCCTTGGTTTAAGGAATAAATTAAATGGAGCACAATACATCAATACAGTTTTAAAATGTAAATGTCTTGTATTAGCAATGCTTAAATGTTTGAAAATACAACTTCTGACAGATCTGTATTACTTTAATTCATTTTATCAATCAATCAAATAAAATGATCATCATGATGTGATCAATGATGTTTTAAGCATAAACTCACTTAGTTCTGTTCAAATCTTGATTTCAGTATGTTTAGATATTTGTACTGAGACAAAACAAAGATACAGAGGAAGATATTCTTTTTTTCCAGTGTGTGCAACATTTAATGCCACAACTTTAATGCTCCTATTTAAGACCTTTTTAGGCCTTAATTTGAGGAAGGGTGAATTTTAAGACTTTTTAAGACCTGAAAATGTCACTTTATAGCAGACTTTAGGACTTTAAATTAGTTTAGTACCAGTATTTTGGGTTGCACAAGGTAACCCCTATTAGTCCAGATTGTACAATTATATATAAAAGGAGATATTACTTTTTATAGACCAAAACTATTTGCCATTATAATATTTTGCTGTTTGTTACTTTCTTTTTTAGTACATTTTTAGTATTATGTTAAACATAACTGTGTTTGCCTGACATTTTGTGTTATAGGTATTTTATTTACTTTTTTGACCTTATTTTTTTGTGTGACCTATATACACAACTTGTATCTTTTTTCTGTATGTCTTCTTATCATTGCTATTTGATTGTTCTGAGATGCCTCCTTGAAATGTTTTCAATCAGTTCAATAAAAGCAAAAAACTATAGGTGTGCAATAAAACAGACTGCCTAATAGACCGTGACCTTTAACCCCTGCATTCCTCATGCTCCATAAACACAAGAACATCAGATAAGAGCAATCTGCATGTTCATCACAACACTGTAAACATGAAAAGGAAAAGAAAGACCGGAAGAACAAAGACAGAGTGAGCCATTGTCCAACAAATAAATCATAATTTGGAACTAATCCTAAAGGAAAGAAGACCGTTTTTATTTATTTAGGCCAACTGGATATTGCACGTATATTAAATTGGGATAACATAAGTTTCTTTAAATTCTTTGACACTTACAAGAACCACATTTGATCCTATTTGGAACTATGTGTCAGAAAAGATCTAACTGTTGTTTCTGTCAGGACCACTATCGTCAAAAAGATAGATACTTAGCATAAAGTTTGGTTTGGCGGTATGGTTCTGTTCTGGGCAAAAAACTCCCTGCCCATCCATGCAGCCTGTCATGAGTGAGCAGGGAGAGCAGCAATAATAACCCCCCTAGGGTTAACAGAACAGAACAAGGCATTAATGTACTTAATGATATTTAAGTGTAACACTTTATTCAAGATAAAGGAGTCTGATTAGCAAGGAATATCAGAAAGCCAAGTCCTGACTGTGGCGAAAGGAGGAGCTGGGGATGGAGGAGGGTAATTTGCTCCCGAGCAAGCTGAAAAGCTGCTGAATCTGAAAAGCTGCTGAATCTGAAAAGCTGCTGAATAATACTGAATACAGCTTATATAGGAATGCCACGATTGGTGTCGTATTCCTATAGGTAGATGTGATCAGCTGAGAATCAGCTGACGCAAGCTTGACTCAGGTGACCTGCCAGAACTAACGCTAATGCTTAATTTTATGTGCTTTAGGAATCCTACAAGAAAAAATAAATATCCCCATTGGGATCCTAAATGGTTGTCCAATTTATGCAAGAAATCACAAAAGGATTTTCGACTAGGCAAAGAACAGGCATATGCGAGATCGTATACCATGCCGGGGATGTTGGCACCATGTCCATTTTGAGGGCTGTGATTTTGGGTATCCCGCGTGTCCACTGGAGTGTCCATTACCGCACCATATTCCACCTGGACACGGCCTCCGAGTCCATTACACTGCCTTTTCTGTAAAATGCAAAAAGATTAACACTATTTATAGCTTGATTATGTAAGAAGATGCCAGTGGAAGCAAATGCAGCTGTCATACCATGGTTCTATAAATCATAACAGCTATTTTCAGTGATGATCAGCTGGGTGTTTATATATGTAGAGTAATAATAAGTCATAACTCTTTGTTTAAAGGGCAACAGCCTGTGCAAATGCCACAGAAGGTCAAACATATGCTATCAAAGGCAGAAACATTCATGCATATTAAACATGTTTATAAAATTATTCAGGCTTATCAAAGTCCATTTACCGACTGGTTGTGCCACTGCTCCAGGTCTCCACTATGTCTTCTCTTATTCTGCATGGGACTTATGCAATCCATTGATTATTTTACAGCACTGAAGCCCGAACACTTTGTATTAAGCAGTCAAAGGCGGGCACATTTCTCCATCGACCGTTGAGGCATCTGTAGAATAAAAAAGACAATAATTCTAAACACGCCCGTTTTGAAAAGCAAAACAAACCCGCAGAACTCTTCATGCCCAATAGTAGGCTGCTATTATTCAGTATTGTAAGTTCCTGAATCATTCAAGATGAGTGACATACAGTTGCGTCAACCAATCAGTGAACAGTACGAGCTAACGAAGGCGGGGCTACGTCAAATAGAGTGTTACTATTCGACGAGAAAGCACTGAGCGAATAGTAACACTCTATATTATATATATATATATATATATATATATATTATTATTATTTTTTAGTTCGGTCCACACTCCAGCCCAGTAGGTGGCGGGAATGCACCTATCGTTTGTTTGCCAACCGCCATGAAACTCCAAAAGAAGAAGAAGAAGAAAACCAACGTATTGTTTGCTCTCTCAGTCTCAACCTTATTGTACTTTTTTCCACACGTGAAATTGTTAACCCAAGGTCTTTTTTTTATTTATTTTTAACTCTGCTGGTTATCTTTTTGCTATATTCACATTCTTAATACTTTTACAATGTATGTTTGTTAAACCTTCGGTTAACATTCTTCTTTAATTAAAGTGAAATAACTAAAGTGAGTGGGGACTGAGAAGTAACAAAAGGACACAAAACTATCATAACAATAGTCCGTATTTGATTCATGCGCTATACCAAGTCTTAATCGTTTGTGCAATAATTGTAAGAAGAATATTCAAATGAAAGATACAGATACTAATTCAGGTTATTTGTTGCCACATACTGTAAATAACACCTCAGAAAGATGGAAGAACGCGGAAAAGGTGACTTAAAACATAATATGTTATGTATATAATTCAAATGTTTATGTATTTAACCAACGTCTTTAATATCCAACTATTTCTCTCATAACGGTCTGTGTTCGATGGTAGTGATATCGTACATTGTTTAGTAATGCTTTGCTTGAGTACAGCGTCCTGATGGAGTGTTCGGTGATCGCTTGGTAATGTCTGGCAGTATGGCGAACCTCACGGACGCGACATCACTGCAGCAGTTCGAGGAATTGTTCAAAAAGAACAGCAAGTAAGTGAAGAATTCATGCTCTTTCAAGTCTGTCATGAAATGTAATTAATTTCGAACAGGTATGTAACTGATTTAACACGGGGATGAAACGTTGATAGAGTTCGTCACGGAATGAAATAAGCGATGGCCTGTTCAGATTAACTCAAAGCAATGTGATGTAAATCTGTATCGATGGATTAATATGATCTAGATCATATGATTTTGGACTGATTGTTTTAATATTGCATTCAGTTTCAGCTGTCTTTAATATGTGTCCATTTGTTTTTTTAGGAGCATTTGAGAAATGCATGAGGTTGCACTCAAAGTCTATTGTTATTATTATGAATATTAGGCTATTGGTCTTTTCTCATAATCAGACCTCTTTAGGCTGAGTTAGACTTGTTTACTATATATATCCTTCTGTCCCTCATGTCAATCCAAACCTGAATGTCAAATCTGAAATTGCATAGGTATTGGACCCTAATCATCATAGGTATGATTAGGGTTGGAGCTAAACTCTGCAGGACACTGGCCCTCCAGGACCGAGTTTGGAGACCCCTGGTCTAGATTCACATTTAAAGGAAACCTCTAATTCAGATCTACCAGTATTTGCTTTATATGTGTATTTAAAAAAAAAAAAAAAATCCTCCCTAAGTTTAGATCTCGGGTTCTGTGATCCAGGTTTCTTGTAAGCTCAATTTCATTCCTACTCTGTCCTTTCCAGGTCCCTCACCGTTGTCCATTTCCATGCAGCATGGGCTCCGCAGTGTTCGCAGATGAACGATGTGATGGCAGAATTAGCCAAAGAGCACAAACACACCATGTTTGTGAAGGTATGGGGACCTCTGAGCCTCACAGCAATTCTGGAAATCATTTCACCAATAACATTCACGCTTAATTTGTGCAAATCGTGGTTAAATGCCATTGTGATGTGTAGTTTCTGTATCATTAGCAAAATTGGTTAAAAATAAAGCTTGTTTCCAGTTCGCACCGGGACACGGAAGCATGTCAACATATTCTGTTACACCAAATACACCAAATAATGATCTTTAAAAAAGCATCATATGACCCCTTTAAGGTCTATTTTTATGTCAACACCTATTACTTAGTGCATGTATACATGATTATAATTAAATAGTAATTAGAAATAAACTGCATTGGATTTTCATAATTTATTTTATTTTAACAGGTTTAAGATAAGTTTTTTTTTTTTTTAATTCGTCACTTTTTAATGGAATATTGCATTGTTTATTATAAATAATTCCCAATCCAATGATCCAATCAATTATAGATGGTTAAAATCAAGACCCATCCTAATATTTACTGGGAAATATTTAATAGATTTTGCAAAAAGGAAAGAAAAGATCGTGTGGAGAGAGAACACAACCCTGAGGAGCTCCAGTGCTGATCGTACGGGTGCTGGATGTGTATTTTCCCAGCCTCACTAGCTGCTGTCTGTCTGTCAGGAAGCTGTTGATCCACTGACAGACGGAGGTGGGCACGGAGTATATTACATTCTTATACGAATTTTAAATTATGATGTAATTTTTTTATTAAATGCTTTCTCAAATTAATGTGTATAACACTCTGGCACAGTCAATTTTGTTCTGTTTGTTTGAACATCTAAACCAGTTGAAATATGCCTCAAGCAATGGCGTGAGTTTTTGGGTGGATCTCTCTTTTTGTTTGACCATCTGCAAATGGCATGTTGTGTTTGATACATGTTTGAAAATGGCCATTATTCTTGCAAATTTTCCTGTGTGCACTGGGCTCTAGCTCCAGTAACACAGATCCAGCTGCTCTCCTCGCTCTGCTCCGGCTCCCAGTGGAGCACATTGAAATGCCTCAGGCTCTGAATGACTTTACCTTCCTCATGGCCTTAAACCAGCAGAGAGAAATCTTTCCTTCTGTTAAGGGTTAATACTGCCTTTCATCACACAGTCAGCAGAGCAGAAGAGTTCTTCAAGCAAAAACTGCCCTTTTATAATCTATATGGAATACATTGTTGAATTCCTTAGAAAATGTCCAGAATTGGATCATTTTTCTTTGTTTTTAATTTGAGTCATTTTAAGAAATTCATTTTTAGGTACAGTTTTATGTGTCCACGAAAGTAATTTCAATCATTTAATCATAATCCGAAACAAATTCATTATGAAGTGTGCCCAAACGTTTGGCTGCCTGCATTTTTCATAGCTGTGGCAGTGGAGTTTAGATTTGTATTAGTTTTCAATTTCATGTGAAATGTTTTTGTGTGTGTGTGTTTTTCTGTCATAAATGGGGTTTTTACAGCCAGATAAACTGTCAGCGCGTATGTTATGTTTGACATGTTGATGTGTTTGATGTTTTATTAATGTGAATTATAAAGAATCATTAGTAAAGTAGTTCTCTCTCTCTTTAGCTGGAGGCAGAGGCAGTCCCGGAGGTTTCTGAGAAGTATGAGATCACTTCAGTTCCCACCTTCCTCTTCTTCAAGGTAAAACTTCCACGTTTGACTTCAGCTGTGCTCAGATTTACCTACAATTATGATTTTTGTTTTAATAGTAAAGACAGGTTTTTTAGAGAGTAGGAGGTTAATTCTGCCACAAATAGGGAAATTATCATATATATGATTTAAATCAATTAACAGACTGCATTTATTTGATCAAAAATACAGTGAAACTGCGATATAAAATATTATTACAATTTAAAATAACTGTTTTCTATTTTAATATATATTTAAAATGTAATTTATTCCTGTGATCAAAGCTGAATTTTCAGCATCATTACTCCAGTCTTCAGTGTCACACGATCCTTTATAAATCATACTAATATGCTGATTTGATCATCAATGTTGGAAACAGTTATACTACTTGAAAACGTGATACATTTTTTAAATTTAGGATTCTTTGATGAGTAGAAGGTTCAGAAGAACAGCATATATTTAAAGTTTAAATCTGATTTATTTGCAGAATATTACAGTGTTACAAAAAAAGTTGCATGAATTATTCTGTTAAAATTGTATTTGTTTATCCAAGTTTGTTTAATTTATTTTTACTTTTTACTATTTTGCTATTAATCAGAAATAGACCAGGTCACAGAAGTAAAACTGTGAACAGCAGTGACTTATTTACAAATGAAACAATTTTGTATGTAAAAGTGGTGACTTACTATATGACTTATTGATTTATTGAATTTGATTGGATTGTGAATGTTAGGCTATAATATTATTGGTTAGTATTAGTTTTCCTCGCCCACACAGCCTTAATTACATCAGCAGAAAAGTTGTTTGAGAGGCAGAGAAAGTTTAAACTTTTAAATAAAAGAATAAGAAAAAAAAAAACACTTATTTTGTTTTAGAATAACATCCACTTAAGAACTATGCAGAATACATTTAAGACCAGTCAAATTTATTAAGAAAGTAATTGAGTCCATTTTAATTTCACATTTTATTTAGCATGAAGTTCACTAATACACTGTGCTCTTTATGTTTCATAAAGCATGCTGATCTATACCAGATTGTGTTTTTCTGTACACACAGCTTTTATTTATGTTAGGTGGGCTGCGATAGAGTTTTGCGTTTATTTAGCAGAGGGAGGCGAGGTTAGAAAAACGGAGCCTGTTGGGAAGGTTGAGTTTAACGATCAAGTAATGTGAGCTGCAAAATCTCCTTGTGTTAGAATCAAGCAACTGAGAAATAATCGGAGGTTAAACAAACACACGGCTTGGCAAGACTTTCCCTCTCTCGGCGTAACATGTCAAAGAACCAGGAGAGCCTGCGGCCTGTTTTCTCTCTCTCCCTGCAAACAATCTAAACAAACTGGCAAGCATCCTAAAAAATTAATGCGGTTTTTTTCCTCCCTCTCAATCTATCACTACTCACTCTTGAGTGTTTTTTATTTATTTATTTGTTTACCGACGACCCTTAGGGTGGTGAGAAGATTGACAGGTTGGATGGTGCGCATGCCCCTGAGCTGACCAATAAGGTGCAGCGGCTGGGGTCCGGTGGGGGCGGGGCTGCCAGGGCGGGGGACGTCCCTAAAGAGGATCTCAACGAGAGACTGAAGAGGCTGATCAACGCCGCACCCTGCATGCTCTTCATGAAGGGATCGCCCCAGGAGCCTCGCTGTGGTAAACACACACGTATACACTCACTCGCATAAATTAACACAGGGTCAGCAAAGTAGTTAGAGCAACCGTCGGCGATGGAGTGAGACAAATCAAAGTTGCATGAACGGGACGGAGAGAGAAGTACATTGCGTCTTTCTTAAGAGCGATGGACGGTCTGTATGGATGTGCCACTATATTCCAGGTTCCACCAAAATACAGTCTTGCTCGGTTTGACCGAAAGTTTCTACTGATTAAAAAACAACTTGTTGATCTGAATGGCTCCCATTGCAATCAATGAAGATTCTGCAGCACAATGCAATGTGCATTCAGTTACTTTTTGTCATGTTGCACCGCTGCTTTCACAACATTATGGGTGTTTTGTGCTGTGTGTATGGCAGTGATTCCCAGACTTAAATATTTTCTTGAATGAACCAACTAAGATTAAGTTAATATTTTAACAGTTTAACAACACATCTGTATACTAATGGTTCTCTGATAATGTTTAATGGTCGCGTGACATGCAGATAAACAATATAAAATATTTAATTTTATTACGCTTTTTATCCAAATTGACTTGCGTTGCATTCAAGGTATACATTTTATGAGTTCATTCCCTACCACAATGATCAGTTTGAGCTACAGCACATTTATGGAATATTTGAAATGTAATTTCTTTTTAATTAAAGTATTAGATGAACGGAAATGACAACATATGTAATTGTGTTCCTATTCGCTGTAATAGCAATAGAAAGAAATCCAGCCGTTGCATTACAAACACTCAACTAGTTTTCTGTAATTTAATCTAAAACACAAAAATGTACATTCATTTCATTATAAATGAAAATACACACAACTTTACTTGATTTACGATGTTAAAGGCACTATGTAAGATTTTTTTATTAAAATATCCAAAAACCACTAGAACAGTGTTATTTATTTTGCTGACTTGTGTACTTACGTTATCCCAAATGTTTCGAAGAATGTTTAAATCCAGAGAAATAAGCTATTTTAATTAGTGACACAGACTGTGTCTATAGTGTCATTGTGTCGCCTGCCAATGACGTCATAACCCCTCGATTTAATATGTTGTGCGTTTTAATAGACCGGTGACGACCGCACAGAGTAGCATTATAACAGAACTTTCAAATGTATCTAGTATGATAAAACAGCGCTGCTTTACCCCACATACGCACGACCGGAAGGAGCGGAAGCAGTCGACTGGCATAATAAAAGCTCCGCTGCTTTCGAGCCGTGTGTCGTGCTCGTTCAGCGGCCTCGTTTCGCTTCAATGGCTTTCAGCCTCACCCTGCTTCATTCTACTACGTTAATAAATCATTAGCTCATCCATGAACATGATTTCTGCCCGAGCCCCGTCGGATTGCATCTGCTGTGGGGATGAAGATGACAACTCCCATGATTCCACACTCAGTCACGGCGTCATCAAACTACGCCTTTGTCTATTTGTTTATTTTGAATACGCGCCCTCCAGCGGTGAAAACTTACACATCGTGCCTTTAATAAGGAAATGCATCATCACAGTCTGTGAAAAGGATCCATATTTATTTAAAATTAACTAAAATTGACATTCTGTTGTCAAGGCTGCTGGTAGATTTTGATGCTGACACAAGTGTGAACAACCACTTTTGTTAATCAAACGTTGGTTGATAAGCAGTCACTCAAAATTAGGAACATATTCTGCTTTTGTAAGTCAAAGTTATACTCATTAAATCCTCACAGAGACAGCTTAATCACTTAATAGCGTTTTAGTCTTTAGTTTGTTTAACTTTAGGCTGTCAGCTTGATCTTGCTTATTTCTGTTTGATTCACTGATTTTCTGGCATGCTTTTTTCTTCCTACAAACACTTCGTCCTCATGTCAAAAGATGTGTGGTTGAGCGTTGGAAAACATCCTCGTATTAATTTCACCCATTCTAAACAAAATACTTTTGATAGTTCAAAGTGCATATTTCGTCATGGACTGAGGCGCAGTTTAGCGCTTGACGTTTTGGCTGTGTAAAGAGGAAGGTCTGGGGGAAGGCTGGCGTTTGCCATCCTGAGATCAAAATAAAAACGATATTGAACTCTAATCTCAAACGTGATGTTGGGCTTTCAACGGCTGCCAGCTCCTCCAGCTCTGCTTTATTAATAGAAGATCCTCTGAGTTTACGCTGCTTCGTCTCTGAGCCCGAAACCTGTTGCTCAGTGCCATTGATGTTATTTGAAGCCGCACTAGGTGTCAGTGGGTCGGTCCGGCTCGGAGATATTATAATGTTGAAACTTATTGATGTTCTCATTCGCTTGGCTGATATCCAAATCAAGAAATAATGCACAGAGAGCGAGCCATGCCTGTCGGTAGCATGCATTGGGTTCTAAACGTAAACACGCTCTTTCGTTCCAATGCGAGCGTAGAGCCAAATGATCAAGTGTTCGGCTAACGCTAACTCTAAAGCAGTTATGCATGTCAAATGAAAAGGTTAGGGGTCCGTGTATCAATTCAGATCTCTCAGCCTTTTTCGCTCTGAGTGGGTTGTCCTTGAAAAGAGGAACGAGGCTGTAACATCGCCCCTCTCCTGGAGCAGAGTCGGTCAAAGCGAATGGTCTTCGGCCCCTGTAGGTGCAGGCATAGAGGGGCAAAGAACTCGGCAATCAATGCAGCATGTCTGGTGGAGTTCGCCCGGAGCCAGAGAAAGCAGCTGCCTGCCTGTTTGCCGGCTCTGATAGAGTCGAGCTAATATACCAGCAAATGCATAAGCACAAGTGAGCCGCCTGGAGCTGTTTTATAATGAATTCCCTCATGAGCCACACAAGATGAAAATGGGTGTTTTACTGCAGGGGCTACACAGACTCTACACATCACCTTGCACATCTTTCTCTCCTGATCTTGTTTCTTTCTCTCGCTCACTCCTCCTTGTTGCACCGCTTCTCTTGCTTCTTGTTCTCTTTGTCTCCTCCCATATAATATCACTCTCTTTCTCTCTTCTCTAATTTGTGACTTGTAGTCATCTCGGATGAACAGAACTATTTAAAATTCAGAAAATGTTATTCTACAACTCTGTGTTTTAGCTTGTGTGTACAATATTGCTTAGTATCTAAAATGGACAAAAGGGTAATTATGATTGCAGATTGCAGGGTAGTTACCATTGCTTGAAATTTTACTCACTGTGTGACTGAAAACATACAAAAAAAAAAAATCAACATTTGTTGTCAGTGTAGCAGAGTTGTTAAACTAAAGCCATAAAAAAAAAAATTTAACTGAAAAAAAAGTATATATATATATATTTCAGCTAGTTGCCAAGGCAACATCACTCATAGTAGTTTAGTTGAACATGATTTACTACAAAAAAAAAAAATAATAATAATAATAATAATAACTATATAAAAAAAAATTACATTAAGAAAAACTATTTAATAAATATACAGACATAAAAATAATTAAATGGACAAAAGCACAACAGAATTACTAAAACTTTAGTTGATATTAAAATGGAAAATATATATTAAAAAACTAATTTACTAGCTACATTATTGTGACATAACATTTATATTAATAAATGTATTAGTTTCTTTGCTTTAAAAAAAAAAGTAGTTCCTCCAAATTTTAAAACAAGTGCAAACTAGTAAAATGTACACAAGGAAACCAAACAAAGTTGACTTGAAAAAAAAAATGCAATGATAAATGACAACTTGTCATTGTAGAGACATTAAAATATGAATAGGTTTATTTACTTTTATAAACGATTTTTAGTTTTTCTTTAAAGCTCTTAAATAAGTGCAAGCTAGTAAAAAGCACACAAGCAAACTAAACACTAAACTTGATTTAATAATAGTTTAATAATAAGAATAAATCAATTTTAATTTAGCTGTGACAAATGAAAACAGGAGTTGTCATTGTAGTGACATTACAAATATAATAGTTTGCTTTTGTAAAATAATTTTTCGTTTCTTCAAAGCCTTTAAATAAGTGCAAGCTAGTAAAAAGCACACAGACAAACTAAGCAGAGTGAACTGCTGTAATTAACTTTTTGACCTTAATTGCATTTTTGTTTATTTGTTGCAGGTTTTAGTCGTCAGACTGTTCAGATTTTGAAGGACCACAATGTACACTACAGCAGTTTTGACATCTTCTCAGATGAAGAGGTCAGACAGGGACTCAAGACCTACTCCAACTGGCCCACTTATCCGCAAGTGTACGTCAACGGAGAACTCATCGGAGGACTGGACATCGTAAAGGTACGAGGAATCCCGTCATCGGCGAGATACGAGAAGAAACTTTAACATTATTGAATGCGTTCAGTGAAAATCAGTGCATAGCAGTGTTTTTTTTTTTTTTAGATATTTCCCTATTTTTCCAAACCCAGATTTCTTCATCGCTTGATGTTGTGTGTTTTATCCCATGCGTATTATCTTAAGTGTTCATGTTTCAGGACTTTTGATGGCGCGTGTGTTCCTGGCTAGCTGTTGTTAGCTATATGTTGCTCTACATTCCCAGCGAGCTCATACTGCTTAAAGCAAGCAGAGCGCTCCTGCTGAGAGAGGAGGGCTGGATTAGCCAGCATCCATCCTCTCTCCCCTCTCTCTGGAGTCCTAGAGGCCCTTCCTCATTAAGATAGAATTTACCTTTACAGAGAGGTAAAATATCTCCGCAGGGAGCTGTTAGTTATGAAAGGAGAGTGTGCCTGTGTGAGTCAAGTTGAAAGGGATTCGGATTCAGAGATATTTTATATCCTCCACAGGAGCTGGTCGAGTCTGGTGAACTCGAGAATACTTTCCCCAAGACCGTCTCACTGGAAAGCAGGTAAAGACAGATACACGCTCGCTCAAACGCACCCTTCTGTACAACTGGACTTGTTGAAACATTCTCTTTTCTGACAGGCTGAAATCTCTAATCAATAAAGCACCCGTCATGCTCTTCATGAAAGGCAATAAAGAGGTGAGTGAACTTAAATGCCCTCTTTTTCTCCCTTTTCTTTCTCCTGAAACACAGTTTAAAAGAGTGAGGAGAAAGCAGGGGCTGTTAAAGGGATAAACACCCACAAATTGAAAACTTTCAATTTTTTAAATTTTTGAAAATATTTACATTTTTTTCAAGCTCTTGTTATTCCAAACCCATATGCTTTCTTTTTTTTTTTTTTATTAGCAGTGCACTTTTTCCTACAACATCTTCATAGTGACCATGTATCTCATGTTCCAAAAGTACAGAAAAAAAGCTATAGATTATATATTTCAAGTTAGCTTTATGTGAAGAACAGACCACATTTCAAGGAGCTGGTTCTCAGTTTTAGTTAATTTAGGTAGCTGGTAGGACTCACCAATGGTTGGTTAGCATGGACTGGTTAGTAGATGCCACAGCTACAACATTTAGTTACCAAAAAGCATCTTTCTACATTGAAAGCCATTCGAAATTAACAGTATAGGTTGAAGAAATGAACATTTATACAACAATCATATGCAATATCATATAAATTACTACTATTATTATTATAGTTATTATTTAGTGTTATTTCAGTTTTAGAGTTTTTTTCAATGTTGAATTAGCTTTTATTTTTATATATTCAGTTTTCATTTTAATATTGGTTTAATTTAGTAATTGTATGTGATTGTCATTTAAAATGTAAAATATTCGTTTTAGTTTTATTGTAGTTCGTGCTCCTAGTACTTCACCTAGTTGCCAAGGCAAAATAATAAAAAAGTTAATCTGATATTTATATTTTATTTTATTTCAACTTTACTTCAGTTAACACCGATGTTTTAATAGTTTTAGTTAACAATACCACCACTGTTATTATTAGTATTAGAGCTGTACTGAGATGTCCTGCAGTAGGCGTTTTTCTCCAGCAGAGGGTAGATGAAGCTCTGCAACTAACAGGCAATATGAAGAAAGCCAATGCTGTCGGGACCATCTCTGAACCTAAATGTACAACATATTTAAGAGTCATCTTAAGAGTTAGGGTTATGGCATTAGTTATATAACCAATTGTTATTTATTTTAAAGAAATATAAAACAAAATATAGCACAAACACATAGCATGAAGAAGTTAGTAAAAGTTGATGAACTGTAAAGGTGTTTCATAATGGATGGGAAATGTTTATATTGTTAAACAGGAGCTGAATGAGAATGGTGAGCTGGCATCTGTGTTGAAAGGAGAAAACTAAACTACTCCAGCACTGAAGAACATGTGGATCACATCGCTGAGATGCCTGTAACCTGCACAGTTAACCTCAGGAATGGAGGACTCGAATTAGACTTATTCCATCCAAGTTAGCATTTTATTAGGAAATTACTAATTTTCAAATTCAATGTTGATCCGATGATGTAAATCCAATAAAGCTAAATGTGTTCTAATCTGTTTTTGTTGCACTGACATACAGTATTTTAGATATTGTTCATACCTGGTATTTACATCCGTCTCTGGTAATCTGATTTACAAGTGGTCAACCAAGATTTAAAATGTACACCGGGTATTGATGTGTCTTAAATATGTCTGCTGTGACCATAGGCGTGGGAAGTGGGGGGTGCTACTGCACCCCGTTTTTTTCTGTGGGCAACTGTTTAACTGTTGGGAATAAAAATTTAAAAAAATCTGAGTGTCTATTTACACTAAGTGCAAATAGCCCGCCTAGTTGGCAGAGGCTATTTACACTAACTGCACCCACCAACATGTGATTGGGCTAGTCAACATTACAAAAGATGGTCATTAATCATCAGAATCAGTGGCGTAGATGGTAAAGCGTGTGTCATAACCTACTACTTTATGATGCGATCGACCCGGGTTCAAATCTGCCTTTTGGCAAACTTTTTTTTCTCCCTTTTAAAATTTCAAATAACATCAGAAAAGCATTTATTTAAATAATCATAATAAGGAAATAATCAAAAAGTTGAAAATAAAGTATCGGGTAGGGTTACGGTAGGTGTAGGGAGGGCTTTTCTCCCAATAAGGTGGCATCCATTTAATAATTATAATTCAAATTTACACTGTTATTATTGCATACTGTTTTATAATGTATTACAATGCTGAGGTGCAGATAATTGCCACTATTTGCAATAAGTAATTAGCAGAATATCCTGGTATTTCAACATAGTATAAATATAATCTATAGCTATTTGCACTTAGTGTAAATAGCATCTATCGCTAAGAAAATATGTAAATAGCATATATTTACCCCCCCCTAAAAACATATTCTCTCGCCCCTGGCTGTGACCACAAATTTTTGCCCAATTAAATACTTTTAGAATGAGAATGTCCATCCCATTGCAACCAATTTCAATAAAACTTGCATTGGACAAAATATAAGACATGCATGTATGTGTATGTGTATTTTCTTATTAAATTGTAAGTAATTTACTGTTTTAACAATGATTAGATGTATGTTAGTTGGGTAGGCGATGCTTTACTGTTTTCTGTGATGAGTCGGTGTGCATTTTCCTTTATATTTAAAATGTTTTTTTTCTTTTAAGTCTATTTCAGATCAGATGTTTATATCATGTAAACTTGGCCTTAATGTAAATCCTGTTTAATCCTGTTTTGTCTGTCAGTCAGAGCCAATGATTTGGCATGTAAAACCATCCTGTGTGAATCTGTGCCCTCATTAAAGAGCTCATTCAACTGCTTTTAATTGCAGGTTGTTAGATTAGGCCAATCTTTGCTGACTTTATTTGAGTTTTTGTCCTGGATATGCGACCTCTTTAATGAGTATGGGAATGATGGATGTATCATTCACGATCACGTCCACTCGCTTTAATTAATGTGGTCCTTGAGCTTTTCAGACAGAGTAACTCTGCCCAACTCTTGGGGACAGGAAGAACTCTCTTATTGTGATTAAAGATTCATAAATATTAATAAGCAGTCGAGACACACCACATCTGACTTTGAGCCGAGAGCATAGAGTGGCCATTATGTTCCTCACACACAAACACACACACAATTGCATAATTGCAGCGCTCCCATGATAACCTGATTGTTGTGTTGAGGAAAGCTTTTAAACATTTCAACACATCTCCCCACAATAGCACACTCAAATATTTACTGATGCATTAACTGAAACATATGACAACCCCTTGTTCATAGTCATGTATAAGCACTACAGGTACACAGAGTTTCATCACACTGCCTAAAAGATTGTGAAGGTTCACTTTAGCTTAGCATCAGTATTAAGAACAGTAGTAGGTTTAGTATGCATATGCAGATATTTTCTTAAACCTTAAGAATAGACAATGCATGTAGGTCTACTATGATAGCGTATAAGCTCAGTTAAAATCCTTCAGCAATTTGCACTGTTGGTTTAATGGATTTGCAAAGTCTTAGTATAATGGGTAATATTTTAGAGTCCAATGTTGAAACACATGAAAAAAAGACTTGTGTACAAATGTGCATTTCTAATGTGTCTGCCAGGGTGGTCTAAATATATGTCTGTAGTGTGCTTACATGATATATATATATATATATATATATATATATATCTTATATTTTTTTTTTCTTTTCTTTTTCTTTTTCAGGTAGCCACATAAATATGCTTTGTGGTGCAGTCCTTATGGGGTGTGTAATGGCTGCGAATGGATGAGACAGGTGATTGTATTTAATTACTTGGCAAATTCAGTCATGAAATATCCAGCTTGTGTTCACAGGTGAACAGTATTTTATGTAATTAGACATGTGAGCTGATTGGACAAACATGCTTATAAAAGACAAATGCCTGCTTAGATATGTAGCTGTTCTGGTTGTAGTAGTTTTTTTTTTTTGTTTGGAATAGCATAATCACTTTTCAACAAAGCTGTTTTGTTAGTGTCTTTTTTCTGCTATGGGTCAGGGGTGGAAGCGGTTAGTTAAATTTAAGTTTTATTTTACAGTGTTCTCAGTTACATGTATTAAACACATTTGTTATCATCTATCTTCCTAGGGTCCACTTATTGGTTTTCTTGATTTTCTTGAAACATGCTGTTGGACATGAAGGTGAGTGTCACGATGATCAAATTAGATTTATATTAAATTACGGTAACAAACAGTTGTAGTTTATATAAAGATGTCAATACTCTTCTTATTCATTGTGCTTATGTTCTCTAGGTTGGACTTCTCAGAATGTTCAGCCTCAGAATTGGTCTGTCCACAAGCTCTTCTCCCCTAGGGAAGTCCAGTCTTCTGTGTTGGAGGCTCCAGTGACTGGAAGCATTCCTGTTGAAGAAGTGGCCTCTAATATGTTTGCTGGGAAGAACCCAAATGCCAGCAGGCCTCCATTTTCCATTTCACGTCAGTATGTAAAAGGAGGCTTTTCCAGCAGCTATGGATCTATGTCTCCTACCCAAAGTGCACCAACTGTCTTGGACAGCATTTCATCACTGCTACAACTCCAGGGTTCCTCCAGTCCAAATGCCCAGAATGTATTTAACCAGTCTACTCGTGGACAAGATTCCTATAGCCAGTCTTCTCAGTATGGCTCTGGACTGCAAAGAGTTTCTGCTGAACTCTCTTCCACACCAGTACGAGGTGGTAGTTCCAGTGGCTTGTCCATCCTGTCAAAGCTTGGTCTCCCATCTCTTGATGTTTCTGACCCACCCACCGGTGATCAAAGCTCCTCAAACATGTCTACAAGCGCTCTGGGCAGCTCTGGCCTTCAGTTGGGAGGAACCTCTAGTCTGTTTTCTGCAAAGAATAGCTCTTCCACAGGGTCCTCAAGCAGTTCCCGCCGATTCTTTACTTCTACGTATCAGGGCAGCTCTGGTTCACAACTGGCAGGAGGTTCCAGCCAGCTTGTTTCTGCAAGTGGTTTGTTCACCCAGTCTCCAAGTACTGAAAGTCAGGATACCCCTGGGTCCTCATATGCCAAGCTTGCTGCCTCACCCCTAGATTTTAGCCAGTCTACCACTGATCAGAGCTCTTACAGCCAGTATACACCAAGCTCAGAGAGCAGCTTTGGCACTCAGCTGGCAGCTTCCCGTCCTGTACCTGGACAGGGTAGTCGTTATGGTTCATCTGTCGAGCCTCAAGATACCACTAGCCAGCATGCTCCAACTTTTTCCTTGGGTGCAAAACTGCCAGTGTCCAGTCAGTACTATCAAGCAACTTGGAGTGATTCTCCATCTCGGGAGCCTTCAGCCTCAAGGACCCAAGCATTTCAGGCAGTGTCACAAGGATCTGGTACGTCACAGAGCAGTTCTTGGTCTCCAAGTAGGTTCTCTTCACTGTCTTCTGCAGGAGGTTCTATCAGCTCTACTGATGGCTCTTCTGTACGGTCTCAACATGCCTCCAGCCAGAATGCCCTGGCTTCTTTGGATTCAAAAGTGCCTTTGTACAGTCAAGCTGCTCCAAGTAGTTCATCTCTGTCTCTGAGCTCTCCATCTCAATGGCAGCCTTCCTCTAGGTGGTTGCAAAGATTGCAGGCATCTGGTACAGTGGCATCAGAGCATAGCTCTCCATCTCAAGGCTCCAAGGCTCCCAGTAGGTTATCTACCTCAGCAATAAGTCCTGGCCAATTTGCTTCCAAACAGAAAGGAAGTAGCAGGTTTAGTGGCTTGTCCATGCAGTCTCAAAGTACCTCAAGTCAGTATAGTCCTGGGTCCTCTGCATATGCCAAGCTTGCTGCCTCACCCCAAGGTGTTAGTCAGTTAACCAGTGGACAAAGCTCTTACAGCCAGTATACATCAAGCTCCCAGAGCAGGGCTGGCACTCACCTGGCAGGCTCTAGTCACCATGCACCTGTGCAGTCAAGCACCTTTACTGATGGCTCATTCCTCCAGCTTCAAGGTACCTCTAGTCAGTATGCACCGGTTTCTTTGGGTTCAAAAGTGCCTGTGTACGGTCAAGCTGCCCCAAGTGCGTACTCTGCTCTGAGCCAGACAACTCGGTGGGAACCTCCCACTTCTAGATGGTCCCAAGGTTTTCAAACTTCTGGAGCTGTGGCATCACAAATCGACTCTCACCCTCAAGGTTCCAAGGCTCCCATTGGTCAGAGCACCTACAGCAAGTATACATCAAGCTCCCAGAGCAGGTCTGGCACTCAGCTGGCAGGCTCAAGTCCTTATGTGCCTGTGCAGTCAGTAAGCACCTCTACTGATGGATCATCTCTCCAGCTACATGGTACCTCTAGTCAGTATGCACCTGGTTTGGATTCAATAGTGCCTGTGTACGGTCAAGCTGCCCCAAGTGCATCCTCTGCTCTGAGCCAGACATCTTGGTGGGAACCTTCCACTTCTAAGTGGTCCCAAGGTTTTCAAACCTCTGGAGTGGTGACATCACAAAGTAGTTCTCCCTCTCAAGGTTCCAAGGCTCCCAGTAAGTTCTCTACCCTTACCTCAGGAGCAAGTCCCACCCAATTTGCCTCCAAACAGGAAGGAAGTGGTAGATATAGTGGCTTGTCCAGCCTGTCTCAAGGTACCTCAACTCTGTATAGCCCTGGGTCCCCTGCATATATCAAGCGTGGTTCCTCGCTGCTTGATGTTTCTAGGCATTCTGCCAGTGGTCAGAGCACCTACAGCAAGTATACGTCAAGCTCACAGAGCAGGGCTGGCACTCAGCTGGCAGGCTCTAGTTCTTATGTGCCTGTGCAGTCAGTAAGCACCTCTACTGATGGCTCATCTCTGCAGTTGCTAGGTACCTCTAGACAGTATGCCCCTTCGCCCTTGAATGCAAAAGTGCCTGTGTACAGTCAGGCTGCTCCAAGTGGACCCTCATTGTCTCCGAGCCAACCATCTCAATGGCAGACTTCCTCAAGGTGGTCACAAGCTTTTCAGACCTCTGGTACAGGGGCATCACGGAGTAGCTCTCGCTCCAAGGCTCCCAGTCGCTTCTCTACACTTACCTCTGCAGCAGGTCCTGGGCATTTTGCCTCAAAACAAGATGGAAGCGGCAAATATAGTGGCTTTTCCAGCCTGTCTCAAGGTACCTCAAGTCAGTATAGCCCTGGGCCCTCTGCGTATGCCAAACATGGTTCCTCTCTTGATGCTTCTAGCCAGTCTACAAGTGATCCAAACTCTTCTGGCCTGTATGCATCAAGCTCCCAGAGTATGGCTGGAAGTCCGCTGGCAGGTTCTAGTCCTATTCTTGTTCGGACGGGAAGCACCTCTACTGGGGGATCGTCTTTCCAGTTTCAAGGTACCTCTAACCAGTATGTCCCTTCTGTGTCCAGTCAATACACTCAGACTCCTTCAGGTGGATCCTCCTTGACTGGCTCAGAGGCATCTCAAAAATGGCAGCCTTCAGCCTCTTCTTGGAGCCAAGGGTTTCAGACCTCTGGTACAGCTGTACATCAGAGCAGATCTTCCCCTCAAAGCTCTCAGACTTCCAGTGGATCTTCCTTCCTGCCAGCCCTGAGCCCTTCTGTGGCCCAGGGTAGCCAGAGTTCTATCTCTAGTCCTCTGAGGATCTCAAGCTTCTTTGGTGTAGGACAACGGCTCTCTTCTGCTTCTGGCTCCCAAATCCATAGCCAAATATCTCCTGGTCTGTCTGCTTCAGTTCAACACCCCTCAGACTCCATGACTTCATCTCTTGGCTCAAGTGTCCAAGGAGCTTTACAAGGTATATTCTCTGGTCAGTCAAGTTCCACCTATGGCCAGAAACCTTCAGGCTATTCCAAATCATCCCAAAGCTCCTCTGCTACAGGACGGTACTTCTCATCTGTCAAGGGCTAAGGGACTGCCATGTACATTTTGTGCTGTGGAATGTCAGTGCTAGATGGTATAAAGCTGTGCTTTTTAATCTAACTTTTGAAGCAATAAATTGTTTAATATAAACGTTTCTTTGTGGTGTTTTGAACATTTCAGTTTAAGTTCCAAACTTGCTGCTGCAATGCAGCCTTAAATCGGGCTACATGCCTCATCTAAGTGCCTTTTTGTTCTCTGGTCATTTACTCCTTATGCCATTTAAAAGGGTCACCTATGTAAAGACTAGTTTTATGTATCCCAATGGTAGCTTAACATACTGGCTAATGTGTGATCCGTTACAATTATACCTGCAGCACACGTATTAATGTGTTGCCACAGCTGGTACAGTAACATGAAATATCACAAGTTAAAGGGTGGTTTTGGTGTAACCTTGTTTGAAAGGGCAAAATCTGCCAGTTATTCACTTACTGCGTAGTTAAAGTATTTAAACCTGGGAATGTGAAAAGTTGTTAATTCTCCCATGTTTCATGTGGTGTCAATCTATTCAAACTCCATCCAGCATTTAAAATGTGTGGTGTGGAAACTAACGTTGTCTTTACCATTTCCGAGGGTCCCAAAATGGAATGTTTAAGGTATCTGGGGGGCTGAACTTCAGGCTGGTGGTCTTTAAACCAGCCTATCAGGCGACAAGGATACCGTGCCCTGTCTTTGCTCTGGGCATCTTTAGTGAGCCTCATTAAAGTCAAGAGAAGATCAAATGCAGTTTAGTATTTGTCAGAGGGCAGTTAGTCCGCAAATGAGCACCAACCCCATCCTTTTTCTTTTGCTGTCTTGCTCATTCTTTCACACACATTCAGCTTTGGTTTAGTGATTTATTTGCATGAGGACATGTGGCTTGCTAAATTGTTACAATATACGGTGTACATTAATATTGCAAAAATAAGAAAACTGCAAATGGTAACGTTGTGTATCTAGCCTCATCAGCTGTGATTTACTATACTGTACTTTGTCAAATTTTGATTAAAGTGTCCTTTTGCCCTGAGGGGTTTGACCCCTTGACCTTGGACCACCCATGTTGCATTCACCTTTGACCTATTAATAATCTCTGGGGTCAATATGCCATAGGATTTTAGCATATTTGTCATTCCAACGCTGACCCGTGACCTTTTAATCATCTCTGGCTGTCAGTGTGACATAATTTCAGTATATGTGGAATGCTGTCATTGACCCATGACCTCTGGGGGTGCAATTTGAAGATTTATTGATTTTGAACCTTAACAGGCCAAATCTGAAGCCCCCAGGCTCATTTTTGTCATTTTACATCCGGCTGCATCTGTTGACCACATGCGGCTATCCAGCCTCATTCCATCTCATGGTCACTCTACTTTCATGCGAGGCAAGAAGGTATCAGCCAAATCTAATGATGTACAAACAATACCAAAATAATTTAAGGAATACACTTTTAATTCCACATATACTAAAACCATATGTCATTTTGACAGCCGGAGTTAATTAAAAGGTCACAGGTCAATGTTGGAATTCTAAATATGATAAAACCATATGTATTAATAGGTCAAAGGTGAATGCAATGTGGGTGGTCAAAAAGGACATCAATCAAAAAAGTTGACAGGAAGTCCTGCAAAGTGACTACTAACATGTTTTGCATCATAGCTTTTACCTGTCATGTATTTCAGCTGATTGACCATCTAGGATAGTAGAGCTGTTATCCAAATAGGCATGTTATTACTGTGGCAAGGTCATATGGTCACTAGTCTCAGATTCAGACAGCCTGCCCAAAGAATGTCTACAATCTGGTCACTGACCTAATAACTGAATTTGCCACGGTTAGTTGCAAAAGATATTTAAGTTTTATTTGAGGAACTCAGTAGAAAGACAGGTACACAGATTTACAAATTCTGCTTAGTTTTTGAGACATGACTGTGAACTAATTCATTAATTTTGGATGGACGGCAATTCTGACAATTTTTTTTTTTTATTATTGTAATATCAACTACAGTATTTCAGGTAAACTAGGGTGACCATACGTGTCATTTTCCCAGGACGTGTCCTGGCCAGGATTTCTATATTGCCTAAAATATCTAGGTTTTGGCTTTGTTTGCTTGTGCAGACCGATCGGTGTATGACATCAAAATACCATACAGACGGTTATGCTTTCGAAACGCTCTCGAGGTACTTTGATGTCAAACACTGATCGGTCTGAGCCGTACTGCTTTTAAGTCGAACACACCTAATATGTACGCGTAATTGCATCGCTTTGACCAAAACAAATCCTAACCAGGATTTGATGCGTCCTGGGTAAATGGCACGTATGGTCACCCTAGGTAAACCCCTCCCTAATGGCACTTAAAAACTAAAAGTGTGACCGTGTCCCCCCCCCAGATTACAAATTGGGAGAAAATGTGAATAGATACCTTTCTCCAGAATTATTGACCTTTTAGGGTCAGGCAGACTTTACCCGTCTCTTTCAGCAGTTGACAATTTATGTTGCATCTTTTGCTTTCCTCTCTCTCTCTCTCTCCAACCTTGCACAGCTAGTGGGTCTTTGGGACCACCTGCATAAATATCACTGTTTGAACACTCAGCAGAAGAAATCACAGGAGCAGAACAGATCAATACTTTCATTTTCTTCTTGTTAAAGAAGGCACTAAAATGCATTTTTATCTCCTCACTGGAGATGCTTGGTCCCCTTTCATTATCACAAATAACGACAACAAATTCCACTCAATGTGTACCATCTCATTTTGATTGGATTACCTTGAAGCAATACGATTCAGCATTCAGCTCCATGACCGTGGAGAGGTTGGCAGCCCCTGGACTTGACAGAGCAGAGTCGGGTGACTAGAATGCAGTCAGGTGATTGACTTATAGATGTGGATCCATGTAGTGAAGCATGTAATGAGCTCCACAAACCCATCAGCAGTGCAGTGACTTTGCTCTTTAGAGGAAGTAGAAGGAAGATATGAGCAATGTTGGATACAGGCTTTTCTCGACTATAATGATACCTGGCTGACTCCCTGAAGATCCTTTCATGTGTTAGAGACAGCACTGAGGTGAGAGGAAATGACTCTTCCACCGTTTATAGTATCATTTAGTGCAATTAGAGACAGCCATGGAGGTCTAGATGGTGGTGTGAATGTGTATGTGAGCACACTGTGCATTGCTGCATGTGTGTCCCTGGTTTATTATATTCATGTGGAAAATGGGACAGAACCTGACATCATTTCTCAAAATGAAGCTAATCTGCTCTGGAAATGATGGTTTTGATTACTGTCAGTGTTCAGAGGACAAGCTATATTACCTGTAATTTTTATGATAAAAGAGATTGCTTGGTTTTGGTGAAATATGATTACATGCAAAAGTCCAAAAACAGCTATTAAAATGCAAATTGCTGAATGATGTTTACAATATAAAAATCACCTATAACATACCAAGCCTTTATGGAGTATAGTTACAGCCGATATTTTCAGCGGCCTTGTTTCCAGAAGAACATCTCCTATTTATTTTCTCCACAGAGAGAGCGAGAGAGAGAGAGAGAGAAACAAGCAACTGTCTTTTTTTATATTTAGCATATAATATTATGCTTCATATCAAAGGTACTAATACCATGAAGCATTGCCAATGACTTAAACCAATAACAACAGTACAAAATGAAAAATAACTTTAAAAAATGAATTAGCAATATAAACTATATATATATTTACACAAATTATTTATGGGACAGATATTTATTAATGATGGCATCTAAAATATGCATACTAGGCAACTATTTACTGCTATTCTCTCTAGACACTTTCTTGCCACATGATAAAAATACACTCAAAAAAGCTTAAATACTCATGTCTATTAGTTATTTATTTTGATATATAGCTGTGTGTGTATTTCATGATTTACAGTAACCCTGTCAGTTTTGCAAAATAAACATATTCAGGATGATACAAGACCTGGTGACCCTGTTGGGGTGTATTTTGCGATAATGACCATGATTGTACATTATCCCCTACTTAATATGCACAGTCAGATCTGTTTGTTTTAAGCTGATAACAAAGGTTTTATTTAACACTCTTCAGATTTTTTCATTTTTTTTTGTAATTTGTTTCATCAGTGGCCCTCAAAACACAGAATAACCTCAACGGAGACCCTCCTCTTTACATTTCAATCATCTCCCTGCTTTTATTTTTGTCTTTGGAGAATGCAAGAATTGCTTTTGAGATGAGAGATGGATTTTTCTCTAGTGTTAAAGCAACCGTTTAGCAGGAATCAAATTGGATGTGGAGAAACCCGCTGGAGAAAAGAGTAAATAAAAATAGAACGTTGTGTTGTATCTGTGTCCTCTGGTAAAAGGTGTATTATATAGCCTACGCTTGTTCCATTTTTTTTCTTACCACTGTATGGCGCCAGAGACTGTGCTGCAAATCAGGTGTAGTACCACAGCTGACCTGAAGAGAGCAGTAGAGACGCTCACTTTTAAAAGTGTATTTGTATCCTAATTAAGCCTAAATATATAATTGAGTGAATTGTATCATTTTTATTTAGCATTGTGTAATAATTACGTGTTTTTAATTTGTGTATGTGATATGTTGTTTTATTTGCATTGGAATATTTAACCTATTAACATGTTTATTTACGAATGTCTCTATACAGTGAGTGCAACATCATCTTTATTGATCCACCACGAAAAAATGTCTTCTACAAACTTCATGTTGGATAATTTTGGTCTTTACTTCCATTCACTGCTGTTTGTAAGAGGTGAGGGAAACCAACAATCATGCATTTATTTGTATCTCATAATGCTGGCCATTTTGACTATATTTTCCACAGCTTTTGAAGTTTTATATGCAAGAGACTCTGTCTCTTCTAATAAGTCGTCACAGACGTCTATCATAAAAGAAAGTCCTTTGTAAGTCCTTGAAACTGTACAACGCTCACGGCCTTCAAAACTATGTTCCCCTTCCTTGTTCTAATGCAAATAAACCTACATCTTTGATTTTTATTAGACAATATTGAGTTAAAAGCAAACTAACGTACGTTGCTTTTCAAGAGTGACCCCTCTTCATTATGTATAAGATCTTCTAGGTGCACTTTGTCAAAGGGAATTTGACTAAAGTAAA